ATTTTATTTTTCATCCTCTTCATTCAGTTTGTTTTTATTTGTTTCCTCCCAATGCTTCTTCTGAAGTGTTATCACAAATCAGAAACTTTGGAACAGGCTCCAAAATAATTATTCATCCTTTTTCAATTGCACTGAGCAGCTCCCACCAGCTTTCTCAGCCCTTCCTGGTGCTCTAGACCCTTCCTGGTGCTCTATTCCTTCCTTGGACATGCTCCAGACCCTCCAGGTCCATTCTGAGCATCTGCAGTGAAAAAGCGAAACATTTCCCATTTCAGAAAAAAGGGAGGAACATTTCTCCAGCACCTCTTCGTAGATCAAAATTTGAAAAATAAAGCTTTGAGCTGCCTCTAACAAAAACTCTGGGAACAGCTGTATTTTAGGAAATGAGGCTCTCTGCAGGAAAGGGATTAAAAGGAGCCAGAGCAGATACATCAGGCGACCCAGCAGCAAATTTTCGTAAAATTTTAATACACCAGGCAAGCAAGGATCAAGTTTCTGATAAACATTTGATACACCGGCAAGCAAGGATCAAGTTTTTGATACATTTCTTACACAGATGAGCAAGCACCAATTTATTGATGCATCAGGAGAGGCAGCCCCCCTCACGCTGGTTCTGTTGCCCTGGCATTGATCCCTCGCTGGGCAGCTCTCTGAGAGTCTTCCCCTGGATGGACGCCTTGTTAGAGTGACCATGGTGGCCACAGTGGCAATAACTGCCACAGTGGTCACAGTGGACAAAGTGACCATAGTGGTCATAATGGCCTCTGTAGCCTTGGTGGCCTCATTTCTCTGGGGGTCCTGGTGGCCTTTGTGACCATGGTGGCCACAGTGGCCCCCAAGACCACAGTGACCTTTCTGACCTCGTGGCTTAGAGGATTCCAATGGCCACTGCCATGGCCACGGTGGCCAGGAGAAGACCCCCAAGGTGGGGGGAGTTCCTGGGGAGGCTCCCACCTGTGGGGACAAAGAGAGGGGTCAGGGAGATCATGGGGTGGGAGGGTCAGGGGGGCATCAGGATGGCCATGGCGGGAGGGACAGAGGTGGTGGGGGACCCTGAGGGTGTGGGGTCAGAGAGGGTCATAACAAGGCCCATTTTGCCACTACCCAGCCATGTACTATGTACCTTGTCCCCATCCCCAGCACTGGATATCCCTGTCCCCCTCACCTGGCACTGGGTGTCCCCAACCCCTGTGCCCAAACAACACTGTCCCTGACCTTGTCCCCAGCTCTGGGTGTCCTGTCTCCCAGCTACAGTGTATGTCCCTGTCCCCACTGGGTCATGGGTGTCCCCATCACCGTGTGTCCTTGTCCCCAACCCTCACTGAGTGTCCACATCCTCCCACGTTGTTCCCATGATGTCACCTCGCAGCCACTCACAGTGGTAGCTGCTGGAGTTCCCAGTGGAGCGCAGCTCAATCTGCACCTTCTTCCCTTCCATGGTGACTTTGGTGACCACAAAGGTCTCGAAGGGCGGGATCAGCACCTCCTTCTCGCTTTGATTGAAGGAAAATTTCTGGATGTCGGCACTGTGGCACGTGTGCACCTCAAACATTGGGTCTGTCCCATAACGCTGGGCCACCATTTTGTCCAGCAACGAAAAAGTGAATTGACTGAGGTGAACTTTCTCACCAGGTCTCACATTGAACTGGACTGTCCTCACCCCACGGAACACATCCAGACATTTATTAGGGCATCTCAGCCTCTGGAGGGCCTGGGTTAGGAGGAAATGCAGTGTTTTGAAGTGGAAGTTGTACCGGTACTCCTGGCAGGAGCGTCCAGCTGTGCACACGGCTTCATTGAACTCCCTATACACATCCTTCATTTTCTAGGCCATGAGGGCGATGGCCTGGGCTGGGGACAGAGGGGATGAAGAGGAGCCCCGCTTCTGCCACTCGGCCCTGGCCTTCACCCAGGCCTGGGAAAACTCTTTGTTCTCCTGGAACTCGGAAATGTTGAGGGCCAGCAAGGCCTCAGTCATGGCAGGGCCACAGTTGAGGTACTGGTCATCAAAGGAGTTCTGGGCCATGTCCAGGGGCACCATCGTGATGGCCGCAGTGGCCACGGTCATTGCCAGCAGTGCCAGGGTGTGAGCCAGGGGAGCCATGGAGAAGAGAGGTCGCAGGGACCAGTGTGAGACAATGTGGGACACAGGGGGACAGAGAGGACAGACTGTGTGACACAAGGAGGACACTGGGGGACACCAGGGGATGCTGGGAGGACACTGATAGGACAGAGGGAACTCTGAGGGACATAGGGGGATATGGGGAGGTTTCCTTGCTGAGGGGCTGGGGAGAGAGAGTGGGGGGAACCTGGGAAGGGGAGGAAGGCTTTTCCAGGAGACCCCTGGAGATGTCCTGGGACCCTGATCCCAAATCCTGGGGTCACTCTTGGATGCTCCAGTGTCCTCCAGTCCCCCCAGGGACCCCAAACCTCCTCCAGTCCCCCCAGGGACCCCAAACCCTCTTCCACAGTTTTGTGTCATTCCCCTGGGGTCCCTCAGCCCCTCCGAGACCCAATCCATATCTAGGGTCACTCCCTGACCCCCAGTGGCACTCTTGCCCCAGACCCCAATCCCACTCCCTGTCTGGTGTCCCCTTTTGAGTTATTGGAAATGATACACCCCAGGACACCAACCCAAATCCCAGGATCACTCCCTGCCCCCTGCAGTGTCCACCAGCCCTCCCATGGCCCCAGTCACACCCCCAGTTCCCTCCTGTTGCCCCCCAGAGCTCAGATAACCCCATTCCCATATCCCCCAATGTTCCCCAGCTTCCGCAGGATTCCAAACCCACGTCACATTTTCCCCCAGGGTCCCTACAGTATCCCCTGTTCCTCCCAGTCCTGATGCCATGGTCCCCTCTCACTCGTCCATGTGTCCCCTGGAGTCCCCCCAGCCCTGATACCAAAATCAGACGGAGTGAACTCCTTGGTGGAACTGGAGGTGTCAGAAAGTCGTAATTCTTTATCAGCTTGGGACTCACGGTATATCTCTCCTGGTCCTGGAGCTCTAGGGGACTTTGCCACAAGGAATTTCTCCAGCAAAATTATAAATATTCATTAAAATGGGTTTCTTATCTAATAGCACTTTCTCAAGAAATAATTTGCATGGCTCCACCTCTCTTCAGAATTCCTCTTGTCTTTGAGAGTTTCTAAAAAGTGATCAGGATGTCGCTGTCATTGACTGCCCCAATACCTCACATGACCTCGCCTCAGACTTTCACTTTCACAAGGTGCTGATCCTTCTGTGTTACAGAACTTGTCAAAAACCCCATTTGAGTTCCCTTTATCTCTTTCTCCACTGCTTTGAGCCACATTTATTGTCCTGTGTAAATACTTTTACATTCTTTTACCATTTGTTCCTGTCAAAATTTATGCTCTATCCGCCATGTGAGGAAAAGCCACTCTATGAAAAGCCAAGTGTTCAAAAAGCAGTCTTGAGACTTTATTCAAATAAACGGACAGAGCGGAATAGACTGTTTGGGTGTGGAGGGATAGAATGTAAGAAAATAAAGATAGTGCAGAAGGTAATCTCACCCCTGAAGAGTTGCAGCTGCACTAATTATCAAAGATTAGGAATGGGTGTGTCCTTAAGAGACCACAGCTGTGTCTAATAAGGATGAGTGCTGTAAAAGAGTGGGTTAGCTGGGTGAAGAGAGAGCTGGAGTTTGTTGGCTGTGCCGTGAAGAAGGAGTCAGTGCTGTGAGGCAAATCACCAAGAAGGTATGGGAACTTTTGCAACAAGCTGATGACGTGTGGGGACCCATTTCTTTTATTTCCCGAATGTTCAGGACTTCAAACTTTCTGGTCAAACCACAAGGGTTCTGTGATAAACTTCATGTCTTCTCATGCAGAGATGTCAAGAACCATTATGAAGACACTGACAACAAATTCTCCTAAAGATCTCCAACTCTCTGAGTCATTTTTCAAAGACATCATTACCCATCTTTCCTATAAAATCTTTCCCTGTGGTGGTGGTGATGCCCTGGCACAGGCTGCCCAGAGAAGCTCTGGCTGCCCCATCCCTGGCTGTGTCCAAGGCCAGGCTGGGTTGGGCACTGCCTGCTGCAGGCTGGCCCAGGGGAAGATGTCCCTGCCCATGGCAGGGCTGGCACCGGACGGGCTTTAAGGTGGCTCCATCCCAAACCATTGCAGAGTCCCCAGGGCCAGGATGGGGTGGGGCGGGCGCTCAGCAGCGCCAGCAGCTCGTGCTGCTGCCTGCTGTTGGCAACTGGAACTGCAGCTGGGGGCGGTGCATGCGCAGTGCCGCTGATTTCCCGCGCTCGCTGTTGCCCTTCGGTAGACAATTCCCAAACCACAACTCCAGGAGATGAGCGAGTAAAGAGGGAAAATCCCTGATTTGAAAGGAAAAAGAGTTTCCTGAGTGAAACATGAGTGTTTTTCATAAATAAATGGGTGGTGCTGCCTCTGTCCCCATTTCTCCATTTTATTTTTCATCTTTCTTCATTCTGGGGTTTTTTTTTTTTTCCTCCCAATGCTTCCTCTGAAGTGTTACCACAAATCAGGAACTTTGGAACTGATCCCAAACTGATCGTTCATGCTTTTTTAATTGCACTGAGCAGCCCCCACCAGCTCCCTCAGCCCTTCCTGCTTCTCCAGACCCATCCCCAGGTCCATCCCTTCCCTGGATATGCTCCGGCCCCTCCAGGTCCTTTCTGAGGGGCTGCAGTGAATGAGGAAAAAGGAATGAAAATTTTCCATCACCTGTTTGTAGATCAAAATTTGAAAAATAAAGCTTTAAGTTGCCTCTTACAAAAACTCTACGAACTGCTTTATTTTAGGGAATGAGGCTACCTGCAGGAAAGGTGTTAAAGGAGCTGTAGTGGATACATCAGGCGAGCCAGCAGCAAATTTTCGTAAAATTTTGATACACCAGGCAAGCAAGGATCAAATTTCTGATAAACATTTGACACACCAGGCAAGCGATGATCAAGTTTTTGGTACATGTTTTATATACCAGGCAAGTAAGCAGCAATTTATTGCTACATCAGGTGAAACAGCCAAGGAGCTTTAGGAGGTGGCTGTGACATTGACGCTCCCAAGCCCCCCTGTTGCCAAGTGCCCAAGCAGCCCCAGGCACTGCCCAATCTCTGCTCTCCTGCACTGTCCTGGCTGCTCCAGCTCCCTCCTTACTGGCCCTGCTGCCCTGGCATTGCTCCCTCACTGGGCAGCTCTCAGAGGGGCTTTTCCAGGATGGACACCTTGTTACAGTGACCATGATGGCCACAGTGGCTGTGGTGGCCACGGTGACCTTGGTCACCTTGGTAACTACACTGACCATGGTGGCCACAGTAGTTACAGTGACCATAGTAGCCACAGTGGGCACAGTGACATCATGGGTCACTGTGGGCACAGTGGCCATGCTGACCATGGTGGTTCCAATGCCCAGAGGGGCCAGAGTGGTCATAGAGGCCCAAGTGGCCATGGTGGCCACAGTGGCAATAACAGCCACAGTGATCACAGTGGACAAAGGGACCATAGGGGTCTTAATGTCCTCAGTAGCCTTGGTGGCCTCATTTCTCTGGGGGTCTGGGTGGCCTTTGTCCTAATGGCCTTCCACAGTGGCTTCCAAGACCACAGTGACCTTGTTGGCCATGTGGCTCAGAGGGTTCCAATGGCCACTGCCATGGCCACGGTATCCAGGAGAAGCCCCCCAAGGTGGGGGGAGTTCCTATGGAGGCTCCCACCTGTAGGGACAAAGAGAGGGGTCAGGAGGATAATGGTGTGAAGGGGTCAGGGGGATCAGGGGGCCATAGGGGATAGGTACAGGGGTAATAGGGGGTTCTGAGAGTATGGGATGTCAGAGTGGGCCATAATGCGGTCCCTTTCCCCTGTGCCCAACAATGGGTGGCCTTGTCCTCCCCGCCCCTGTGGGTATCCCCAGCAGTGGATGTTCCTGTCCCCCTCACCTGGCACTGAGTGTCCACATCCCCTGTGCCCAGCAGTGACTGTCCCTGTCCCTGTACCTGTCCCTTTTCCCAGCACTGGGTGTCCCAGCTCCCCAACCCTCACTGAGTGTCCCCATCCTCCCAGGTTGTTCCCATGATGTCACCTCGCAGCCACTCGCAGTTGTAGTTGCTGGAGTTCCTGGTGGAGCAAAGCTCAATCTGCACCTTCTTCCCTTCCCTGGTGACTTTGGTGACCACAAAGGTCTCGAAGGGTGGGATCAGCACCTCCTTCTCGCTTTGATTGAAGGAAAATTTCTGGATGTTGGCACCGTGGCACGTGTGCACCTCAAACATTGTGATGTTCCCATAACCCTGGGCCACCGTTTTGTTCAGCAACGATGAAGCAAATTGACCAAAGCGGACTTTATCGCCAGGTGTCACATTGAACTGGACCGTCCCCACCCCACGGAACACATCTGGACACTCGTGAGGGCGTCTCAGTCTCTGGAGGGCCTGGGTCAGCAGGAAATGCAGCGTTTTGAAGTGGAAGTTGTCCCGGTACTCCTGGCGGGAGCGCCCAGCCTTGCGCATGGCTGGGTTGAGCTGCTTGTGCACGTCCCCCATCGTGTAGGCCATGAGGGCGATGGCCTGGGCTGGGGACAGAGGGGATGAAGAGGAGCCCCGCTTCTGCCACTCGGCCCTGGCCTTCACCCAGGCCTGGGAAAACTCCTTGTTCTCCTGGAACTCAGAGCCATTGAGGGCCGGCAAGGCCTCAGTCATGGCAGGGCCACAGTTGAGGTACTGGTCATCAAAGGAGTTCTGGGCCATGTCCAGGGGCACCACCTTGATGGCCGCAGTGGCCACGGTCATTGCCAGCAGTGCCAGGGTGTGAGCCAAGGGGGCCATGGAGAAGAGAGAACACAGGGGGCAATGTGAGACACTGTGGGACACAGAGGGAATACAGAGGACAGGTGGACACAGGGGGACACAGGGGATGCTGAGGGACAGGGGGGAACTTGGGGAGGCTTCCCTGGGGAGGGACTGGAGAGGGACAGGGGGGTCAGCTCAGGGACGAGGGCAGCCCTGGCCAGGAGACCCCTGGAGATGTCCTGGGACCCTGATCCTAAATCCTGGGATCACTCCTCGATGCTCCAGTGTCCTCCAGTTGTCCCAGAGACCTTAATTCCACTCCCAGAGTTTTGAGCCATTCCCCTGGAGTCCCCTCAGCCCCCCCAGGACCCCAACCCAAATCTGGGGTCACTCCCTGACACCCTATTTGTCCCTCTCAGTCCACCCCCAGACCCCAATCCCATTCCCAGTCTGGTGTCCTTTTTGGGAGTGTTGGAAACGATACACCCCAGGACCCCAACCCAAATTCAGGGATAACCCCCTTCCCCCTGCAGTGTCCTCCAGCCCTCCCATGGCCCAGTCACACCCCCAGTTCTCCTCTGCTGTACCCCAGAGCCCTGTGAACCCCAGTCCCATGTCCCCCAGTGTCCCCCAGCTTCCGCCAGGATTCCAAACCCCACATCGCATTCTCCCCCAGGGTCCCCCCAGTACCCCCCAGGGCCCCAGACCCCATGTCAATGTCCCCTCTCCCTCCCTCCAAGTGTCCCCTGGAGACCCCCCAGCCCCTGATACCAAAATCAGCCAGAGCGAACTCCCTGAAGGAATTGCAGGTATCAGAAAGCCAGAATTCTTTCTCAGCTTGCACTCACTAAAGAACTCTCCTGGTCCTGCAGCTCAGGGGGGACTTTGACAAGGGGTATTCATCCACCACAATTACAAATATTCATTAGAAGGGGCTTCTTAGCTAATGCAGATACATCACTTTCTCTGGAAATAATTTGCATGGTTCTGCCTCTTTCTGGAAGTCCTTTTTTGGTACAGGGTGGTCACCCAAAGGGGTTTCTGGGTGTGGTTTTCACTGGGTACCCCAATATGCCAGATGACCTTTCCTGCAACTTCTGCTTTTTGCAGGCACTGCTCCTTCTTTGGTCCAGAAGTTGTGAAAGACCCTCACTGGAGTTCCTTTATCTCTTTCTCAAGGAATTCCATCCACGTTCATCCTGGGTATCCACACTTCTCACTCCTTTTCTTGCTTTTGCCCGTGTATTGCAAAAAATACACACCACGCTGTGCCTCGAACCAGGTGTCGCACACCTTCAGGAACGCGTCCCAACACTGCCCTTTCTGAGCATCCCTCAGTGTGGCCACGGCGTCGGTCAGCAGGAAATGCAGTGTTTTGAAGTGGAAGTTGTCTCAGTACTCCTGACTGAAACGTCCAGCCACAAGCACGACCTCAGTGAACATGCTGGACAGATCATATGTTGCAAAGGCCATGATGGCAGTGGCCTGGTCTGGGGACAGAGGGGACTCAGGGGGGCCCTGATTCTGCACCTTGGCTGCAGCCTTTACCCAAACCTCAGCAAACTCCTTGTTCTGCTCAAACTCGGAGCCGTTGAGGGCCGGCAATGCCACCTTCATGGCAGGGCCGCAGCCCTGGTACTGGTCATCAAAGGAGTCTTGGGCAATGTCCAGGGGGATCACATTGACAGCCGTGGTGGCCATGGCCATTGCCAGCAGTGCCAGGATCTGAGCCAGGGGGGCCATGGTAGGGAGAGGCTGCAGGGACCAGGCTGGGACACTGGAGGACACAGAGGGGACACAGAGGAGACATGGGGAGGGTTCCTTAATGAGGGACTGGGCAGGGGAGTGGGGTCAGCCCAGGGGGAAGGGACACACTCCTGGCAGCAGACCCCTGGACATGTCCAGGTTCCCTGATCCCAAATCCTGGGGTTATGTATGCCTCTCCAACATCTCCCAGCCCCCTGGGGACCCAATCCCAATCCCAGGACATGGCCCAGGACTCCTTCAATGACCAGTATCGGGGCTGCGGCCCTGCCATTATCGCAGCATTGCCGGACCTCAGCCACTTTGGGTTCCAGGTGAATCCTCTCTTCACCCAGACCTGGGTGAAGATTGAGGCTGAATGGCACAAGCAGGGCTCTCCTGTGTCCCCTGTGTCCCCTCTGGCATCCCCAGCCCAGGCCATTGCTCTCATGATGTCCACAACAAAGGACATTTACAAGCACTTCCACGCAGCCGTGCTTGTGGCCGGGTGGTCCAGCCAGGAATACCGGAAAAACTTCCACTTCAAAATGCTGCATTTACTGCTGACCCAGTCACTGGTGACACTGAGGCATGCTCAGAATGGGCAGTGTCACCTCGTGTTCTGGGGTGTGCATGATGTCCAGTTCCAGGCACAGTGTGGCCAGAAGTTCCATTTTCGTCAATTCACATTCTATTAAATTATTCTGTCAAATAGAATCCATTAAATGATTCTATCAAAGCAACTCCATTAAATAATTCTACCAAAATGATTCCATGAAGTAATTCTTACAGAGCCAGTCGACAGTGACTATTCCTAAGCAGGACTCATTGTCACTCCCCATACCAACACTTGTGGGAACGTCTCTTTCTCCCACCTTTGAGGAGGACTGTTGGGGAGCATCCCCTTCCTGAGGGAGGAACTTCACACATATTTCATTCCAAGTATGAATAGAGGAGAAGAATTTCTGTCTGAGAGGGGACTGGGCATTGCCAGAGTCAGGTGATGGATGGCCAGTCCCAGGTCTAATACTTCAGCCTCAGTTGTCAATTTGGGGCTAGGGGTTCAGACTGGTTTTTAGCTCAAATTAGCACCAGTGCCCTGCCTGCCTGGTGGGGACCTGCTGGAGTAGCTCTGGGCAATGACCTGGGGGTGCTGCTGGGTGACCAATGGAACTGGCCATGTGGCCTGGGGCCAGGTGGGATTTAGAGGACAGTCAGATAAGTGAGGCCAGGAAGTCAGGGAGAGATAGTGTCCCTATCCCTACCCAGTGAGGCACATCAGGAGTGCTGCGCCCAACTCTGTCCAGAGCCATTTCCAGCTGTGCTCATGGCTGTGTTGACCTCTTCCCAGGGCTATTTCTAGTTCTGTCCTGTGCCATGTCCAGCTCTGCGCAGTGCTCTTTCCCATTCTTGGCTCCTCAGAACAGGAAAGACCTGGAGATCCTGGTTGGCAGCATGGATGATGACAGGACTGGAGCATTTCTGTCATCAAGTGACAAATACCAGAGAGAATGGATATCTTCCCTTCCCCTGAAGGTGCTGGACAGAGCCTGAAGACAAACTGGCAGAAATGATAAAACAAGGGAGAGGTGTGCACACAAGATGAAAATCACAGCTAGAACCCATGGAGAAACAGAATAAGGGAACTCCAGTGGAGTTTTGGCAAGTTCTGTAACAGGAAAAAATAGCACCCGTGCAAAGAATTTTTTCCAGGAACAGTCCCTTTGGTATCACAGTATTTGGTGAAAAAGAGCCCCAGAAGCCCCATTTTTACAACACTTCAGGACAATGAGCCATGAGGTCATCAAGGTCACCAAGCTCACTGTGGTCGTTGTGGCAGCTGTGGCCACCATGATCACCAAGACTCCCTCAGCTACAAGGCTACCACAGCCACCGTGTCCAGTGTGGCCACCAAGGCCATTGTGCAAAGCAATTCTAATAAATACTTTTGTCAAAACAATTCCATTATATCATTCTGACAAAGCCAGCAAAAAGAGACAATTACTAAACAGGGCTCGAGTTACTCCCCACAACAACAATCTTGGAAAATGTCTTTCAGCCTCAAGGTGGATCCCTAGGGAGCATCCCCTTCCAAGGGAGGATCCTCACACACATTTCATTGCAAGCAGAGTAGGGGAGAGGAATCTCTGTCTGAAAGGGGACTCAATGTTCCCAGGGTCACGTGATGGAAAGCCAGGCCAAGCTCTGGTGCTTCATCCTCAGTTGTCAATTCCAGGTTGGTGATTTGGGCTGGTTTTCACCCCACTCAGCAACAAAATCTGCAGCAAACCACTCTCAATGCAGCCCTGATGGCCACAAATGGGGCATTGTCCCTTGGCCACATTCCAGGCAGAGCATCCTGACACATCCTGCACTTCAGGGGACCTTAAAGGCTGGAAACTGGGAGGTTCAAAAGGGAAAGGGCAGGTCCTGTCCCTGGGGAGGGACAGTAACCAGTGCCATCTCTGGCTGGGGGGGGACCTGCTGTAGCAGCTGTGGAGAAGGAGGTGGGGGTGCTGGTGGGTGACCAATGGAGCTGCCTGTGTGGCCTGGGGTCAAAAGGGATCCAGGGGGCATCAGGAGGGCCCGGCCCAGGGAGTCAGGCAGTGTTTGTGCCCCTCTGCCCTGCCCAATGAGGCACATAAGGAATGCTGTGTCCAGCTCTGCCCAGTGCCGTGTCCTGTTATGGGCTGCTCTGGACGAAATCCTGTGCTCAGGGATGACGCTGACTGAGCTGGGAGGTTGGGCCAGGTGCCCACTCTGGGTCTGCCCAGCCTGACACATTCTGGGATTTGGGGATTCTGGCAGTTGTGGTTCAGTAATTGTCCACCGGAGGGCAGCAGCGAGCGCCTGGAAATCAGCGGCACTGCCCTTGCACCATTCCCACCTGCAGTTCCAGGTGCCAACAGCAGGCAGCAGCACAAGCTGCTGGTGCTGCCGAGTGCCCGCCCCGCTCCATCCGAGCCCCGGGGTCTCTGCAATGGTTTGGGATGGAGCCACCTTAAAGCTCATCCGTTGCCAGCCCTTCCATGAGCAGGGACATCTTCCCCTGGGCTGGGCAGCTCCAGGTCCTGCATAGCCGGGCCTTGGACACGGCCAGGGATGGGGCAGCCACAGCTTCTCTGGGCAACCTATGCCAGGGCGTCATCACCTTCACAGGGAAGGATTTTGAAGGAAAGATGGGTGGTGATGTCTTTGAAAAATGACTCAGAGGGTTGGGGATCTTTAGGAGAAATTGTTGTCAGTGTCTTCAAAACGGGTCTTGATATCTCTACACCAGAACACATGTGGTC